AACCGAGGGGCTAGTGGTATTTCCTCTACCTCCCAAAGTGGAAGGTGAGGGTTTGAGTCCCCACAAGGGCAAATGGGCATGTGTGAGTTTCTTGCCAAAGGAAAAAATAAATAAAAAATTTACTTCCCACCAGCATCTTTCTCAGTGAGTATTTGCTTGTACCGACATAGAAGAAAACATGATTTATTAACACATTATGGTTTACTTAAGAGAAGAAACATTACTCAGCGCCGCTTTCACCTATGTGGAGTGATGTGAGAGAGAGACTGGATTCAAACCTAACCTTCTTATCATCATGCTTTGCAATAAGTTGAGGAAAGTAGGAACTTGATGCGGGTGGTATTCTTGTTTAGCTGAGCTTCCAGCCATGAACTTTCAAGGAGGCAGCCCTGATCAAATGCACTTGCTCGAATTATCAAGGTCCATAAATAGATTGCTTACTCCGACTTGACAAGCTATTCACCTCTCAAAATTATTATGCGACTCGTAATCCTGTATTTCATTCAGCTCCACTCTAGTTTCATTAGTGACAATTAATTTCCTTCCATGAGCCACATTTAGACCCCAAAACACCAATATTGGCATTCAAGCTCAGCTCTAGTCTAATGCCTCGAGAATTATTTACCCTATTAATTATCTTCACTGGAACACTTGCCCCATCAAATTCACAAATATTTAGGTGTGGAGGAGGCCTGATTATTAACTAAACTGGTTATCCTGGCATTTTTTTGCGCGCGCGATAATGCGAGCGAGTAAGGAATGCAGTAACTGTCATTGAAACTATGGCTTTGGTGTATAAGTAACCACATAATTTTGGGTATTGTTGAATGGTGTATGTAATATCCCGATATTTTTAAAGGATTTATTAATTGGGATTAATTATTTTATTTTATTTTTAAATGATTTATTTTATTTTATTGAGTGTTAGATTAATTAACTTATCTTAATTAAGTTATATTTCATGATTATGTATGATGACTAATTATTTGTGAGCTTGATTATTGATTGAATTATTGGCGTGTTGATTTTATTGGTATGGTGTGACTTAGTTGTAAATTCTTGTTTGTTTATGTGCTTCATGTATTTAGTTATTTTAACTTCATTATTTAATTAATTATTTTATTTATTTAAATTAATTAGATTAGGCTTAAGTAAAGTTGGGCCAAAAGATGTGGTCTTGGGTTAATTAATAGGCGTTCATGGTTATAAAGATATTTAAATAATTATCCTTGTATATATATATATAATTATATGTATATAAATATAATTAATTAATAATTATTATGGAATGATATATATATATATATATATATATATATATTGATATATGTATATATGTTTATGATTTAATTGGTTAAGGATTAGTATGGAAGGAAATATACAAATATATATTATATAATATATGTGTATATATATTTAATAATTATTATTTCTTTTATTTGGTAGTTCTACTAAGAATGGGATTTGGATTTTAATGTATGTATAAATATACACATAAGGCTTTACAGATAAAAGTTTTCTACGTTAGAAAATAAGAAAGGTAGAGAGAGAAGAAGAGAAAACTGACAAGGAGGAGGCCGGATCTGAAAAAGAGGACGTCAGATTTTGAAGAGACAATTAAGGCTTGAAGTGTCGATTTTGTTTCGAAACTTTCTTCTCTAACTTTCCTTTTAAAACTCATAAAGATTTCACCTTGAGTATCAAAGTTTTAAATTTAAATTATTAATTTAAATCATGGTTAGAACAGATTTAATCAAAAGTATTAAGTTAATTTTATTTGATTAAATTAAGATTAATCCTAATACTAAAAGCATGATTTATTATTATTATTATTTTTTTAGAGTTGTTGGATTTTAATTATATATATAGGTTCTATATATTTAAATCGACTATTCTGCTTGATCTGTGACCTAAGAAGGTTATTTAGGGTTTATAGAAAATCTGGGAATTTTCTGTAATTTTCTAGAATTTTTTTGATATTTGGAATTTATTAGATTTAATTTCGTATATTTATTTGGTAATTATATATATATATATATAACGCTTCTATAGAAATCGGTGCCTTCATTAAGGGATGTGATCCTGTGTGGCGTGGCATACAACCTTTCAATGCGCCCACATCAGGACCGCATGCATCCGAGAAGGATTCTGTGTTTACATGTGCATAGGAATAGGGTACATACTCAGAGCTGGCCCTTAGTTTATTTTAGTATAAGTGAGTTGATCCAGTGTAGTCGAGATGCATGAAAATTAGGTGCGCATTAGATCTGGACCATGTAGCTGGTCATCAAAATAATAATCCGGTGTGGCGCGGCACATGAAAAACATGGTGCGCACTCAAATAATGGTTGTTGGATTAAATGATGAGGGACGACGGCGCATAAAGATCTGGTGCGCGCATGCATCTGGATCGTTGACTTGTTCTGGTCAACAAAGAAATGATTTGGTGTGGTCGCGCTCACAATAGCGATTGAACTCAGCCTATTATTTTGCCTATTTTATTACTCGAAATTTAAACAGTCATAACTCAGTTATCTTAAATTGAAATTAGGTCATTCTTGAGCTCAAATTTAAGGATTTTTTTTCATCTTTCCAATGGTACCAATTTCATTATTAGATTCCTATCATACTATGATATATTTACGTTTTAGTGAGACGGTGTCGAAAAATTATTTACCGAGATAGAGTATTTATGGGAAACTATTTCTGACGATATTTAGTAGCATTTAAATTGTGTAAATATAATTAAATTAATATATTGTTATAGAAGAAAGTATATATATATATATATATATATATATATATATATATATATAAAATTATTTATATATATAATTATTTATATATGTGTATATATGGTTTAATTGTTTAGGATAAGTATAGAGGGATGTGTGTGTATATATATATATATGATTTAAATAATCAAAGATTACTATGGATGATATTATACATATTTATATATTATATAATATATATGTATGTATATATATATTTTTATATATATCATTTAAGATAATTAATATTAATTATTCTTATTTGGTATATCTGGATAAGTTGGTTATTAAGGTAATGTTATACTGATGAAATGCATGAGATGTCTATGTGTGATTTAATTCATCGTTAACTTTAAAGTTGATACATGGTTGAATTGTAGGCATGGATGAATTGCCAAAAGCTTAAATATATAGCCTGAATATTTGTATCAATAAAACACATACATAGCAAGTATGGATAAGTTGCTAATTAAAAGTATAAAAATATATACTTAAGGAAGCATGGTTGAGTTGTCAATATATTAATAAATATATTTATAATGGCATGGTTAATTTGCTAAAGTATAAGTTAATGGTTATGTGTATTAGATGTTTAAATTGCATCTATGGTTATTGTATATATAGTTTGGATTAAGATTAAATATTCTTAAATTAGAATAATCTAATATTTACAAGTTAGTGTATTATTTTATATATATTAATAAAATAATATTGGTGGAGACATGGATGATTTGTCAAAGCCTATATATTGGTTGTATAATTTAAATAATTAAAATTGTTATTAGGTATTGGATTAAATGAAATATTCCTTAAAATATAGTTTATTGTTTAAATGATTAATTAACCGTCTAGGATGGTATTGAGGTTAAGGAACTTTTCTTTAAAAGAAATGGTGGATTGGTTTAGGTATGATTATTATTTAATCATTGATAATGGTTTTGGGATTAATGAACCTAGTAATAGATGTGACTGTTTTATTTATATATAATTATTTATATATATATGTATCATTGTTTATTAAAGATAAAAACTTTACTAGGTTTGTTTTGATCTGAGATGATCTGCTTATTGATTTTCAGAGGCCTGGTAGAGAGAACTTATTCATGAGTTTGACCCACTTATTTTTATCTTTCAAGTTATTAGAGGTTCAAGTCTCAAAATTGAGGATCCGCAACTGGAGAACTTATCTATTCTTTCAGTTTATTCCAAATTATGACGATAGATTTATTTTATATATAGTTGACTGGATTATTGGATACTGTTTTTAAGGGTCCTTGCATTACGAGATTCTCGAGTTGTATTTTTGGAGAAGTAGTAAGAAAATTATTTATTTATTCTTCATTATTCATTTTTGTATTCTATGTTTGTTTAAATACTTTAATTATTTTGATATCTTTGGTTTTGTGCACGGATTTGATCAACCCGTGTTCCGAAATTGGGAGGTATCACAGTGTATCAATAGCTCTGTTGCTTCTTTTTATTTTCAAGCCTTTTTTAAAAAATAAAAAGTATATATAAATTTTCATTCATCGACTTTGTGATTTATTTTTCTATTATATATTTGTTTTCTAAAAGCAAACTTTCACGTATCAAAGATGAGATAGAGAAGCAGTTGTTTTTATTTTTCCGGAATATTAAAAATTGCAACCAAATATTTATTGTCAATTATTCTTTTGGGTAGCAAAAGACCAACCAAGAAATGTAGAAATGCATTTAGACAGGCCATAGAACTTTAATATTTATGCATAGTGAAAATGAGTGTCTTCCATAAGTTTAAATTGGGGAGGAGAAAAATGAAATTTAAGGTTCCGTTTGTTGCTTGGTAAAATATTGTTTTCAAATTTTATTTTTTTATTATATTTGGCAAAAGTCTAGATCAAAGTTGAGGTCGAGTCTATTAGACGGCCGTGCAAAATAACTTATAAAAAATTAATGAGTAAGTTATTTTTGTTAAATTTTAATATTTTTTTTTTCTTTCTAAATATTTTCCTAGAACCAAACACCTAAAAAATTAAAAAAATATTTTACATCCAAACATATAGAGCCTAAATCTAAAACCATTTATGGAATGATAAATATCACAGCATTCAGTAAGATTACAGATACCTATGGAGTATTAGATAACAGTCCAAAATAAACTTTTCTCTAATTTTAAATTCAATACACCAATTTCATGCAACTGATCTTTGACTATGGCACCAGACTTCAACAATAGTACTCCTAACTCAAGCTAATTTCATATCCCACTTTGGTTCATTCTCAAATAACTACCAATCTTTCATTTCATTGAACACATCTCACCAGCTGCATTTCTTCTAGTTCATTATCTTTTCCCAATTCAATAAAAAAACAGTGATGCTATGTTTGGCAAACATGGATTTCGAGTTTTAGAATTGAAATTAGTTCATTCTCTTTTCCCAATTGTTTTTCTCTAATTCTACTAATTTCAATTCCAAGACTCAAATTCCATGCCGCCAAACACAGCTTAAGATCGAGTGACAAAAGTAAACTTGTCCTTTTTTAGTTCCCACTGTCACACTCTCTTTTTCTAGGGTTTCCAATAGAAAGGAGAATCATGGCGATAAAAGAAATGGGAACATGCCAAAAGCAATTCCCCCAAGCAAGAAATCATTTCCTATGTGTAACATCAGATCTTCCCCTAAGTAATGACACTTTCAAACTCCTAATTGTCATCATTTGACAATAAAATTATGGTTTAACTGAATCTTCATCCTAATCAAGTTATTATACATTTTCTGTGATTGACTGCAGAGAAAATAGGGGTTTTTGTATTCCTCAGTATTTAGAACCATATAACAGTGGGATTTTTTTTTCTTTTTTTTTTAATTTTTTTTTTCCCTTCAAAATTTAGGACAATATGTAGCATGTACAAGATTACTTTTCTTTTGATAGACATAAAGGTCGACAAAATTACAAAAAACAATTAGCAAATTTTCTTTACTCGGGTTTACGCAACCACCTAATGTTGCACCAAAGGTTTCCACAACCAGAAAGTAGTTGCTGTTGCTGCTAATCAAACAGTAATAAATCTTGGTGGACTAATGGATTCGTACGGATTCCATGCTCTGTCACGCCTAGGGGTCCTCATCCCATCATGAACTGGTGTTGATGTTGCTGTAGAAAACATTAAAGAGAAACAAAAACAGATTAATAAAGTGAAATAAAGTTGAAAGCGATGTGGTTACAAAATAAGGTAGACTTAAAAGAACAAACCTCCAGGTTCTCTCATAGGAGTCATAGAGGGATGCAGTGGTGTCCTTGAAGGATGCATTGGGGTTTCACTTCCAGAACCATATCCAGGCGTGTCACTGATGAAACAGAATCAATTAGAAATTTCAACCTGTGTAGTAAAAAAAAAATTCAAACAAAAGGCAAAATCATAACTACCTGTACGGAGTTGAAAAAATCACGTTGTCTGAAATATGATTCCAGTCAACTGCAAAGACAACAATAGTAAGAGTCATAATCCATATAGCGTCCGAAAGCCGGACACATCCAACTGTATTTACGCGAGTGGGGGATGAAGTCATCCCCACCCACATGAAATAGTCAAATTAGTTTGATTGTCGGACTACATATCATTTTTCAATATTTATCCACAGGGGAAAACATGATTAACAAGGACTTTTTGGAAACTTGCCTGAAATGACCTTCATTTGGGACTCAAGTTCGACTCGGACGGATGGACCTTTAACATCTACAACACGCCCACGGTAGCCTTTAAAGGGACCCTGACGAACTTTTATTGTAGTTCCAACCAATGCATCATGCCCTCTTCCACCTCGATGACTTCCTCCAGCTATACCATTGTAAAAACACGGTAAAATCTCATTTCTTGAACTATTCATCATAGTGATTATAACCAGAAAGAGAATAGTAAATTTAAATAAAAATGTAGTATAAGATTGGAAGGGCATTAAATTCTAAACATCAGCCACCTGTGGGAGGGCCGCCTCTAGAAAAACTCCTCGGAGACTCGGGAATACAAGGTGGAGTTCTCAGTTGTTCAAATCTTGAAGCCAGTGAATTACCCTGCAGAAGTGGTAACATAAGAGCTTGAAGACACTGAACCATAAGGATTAGCAAAAATTGCAAAATCCCAACAACAAAATAATTTTCGTCAGTACAAAATATGAAAGACATACATTTCTATTGGAACGTGATCCGCCAACAACCATGCAAGATTGGGATTTAGCACAGATAAAGCCAGCATGCTCAAGGTTATGATGATCGTAGACGAACAAAATTCCTCTATAAATATGTTCAACAGTGCCTTGTTTGCCCTATATATGACAGAATTAATAGCGATGAACAACATGGTCGAATAATTAATATGAATAGATAAAACAAATAGTGTTGAGGATCTCACTTTGCAAGGACCCTCAAGAATCCTAACAACATCTTTCACTGATATTGTGTTCTTTGACAGATCTTGTGCATATGTTTTCTTCTCAAGTTTGCACTTTATCTCTCTTAATCGAATAGGCACCACTTCTGCTCTTTCCGGAACTCCCTTAAGAACCTTAAAAACAAAAAATATATATATCTTTATACAATAATTCAGCAAGACATTCCATCATATTTGCCACTAGAATTATATCAGTCACCTTGAAAGCTTCTTTTCCCACATTTACGATTACACCAAAGCCCATATTACTGCACAAAATTGGCATACAGTATAAGAACTTGACTGAAAGAAAGGAAATAAGATGACAAAATAAATGAGAACTTACTCCAACAGCACAAGATCGTGAAGCTCATAGTCCCCTATTCGGGTAACACCACATGTTACTTCCGAGCTCCTAACAACATTGTTAGCGAATACACGTATCTAAAATACAGCACATTTGGTGTTAGTTGTCCACTAGGAAAAATAAAAGAATAAGAATTAGAACAATCAAGGATTTTAAAACCACAAAAACAGAATACCACTCACATCTTCTTTAGTTGTATCAGACACAATTGTTACACAATGCCCATCAACCTTTATAACCATACCGGTTTCACCTTCTGTTGCACCAGAGACAACCTTCACATGATTCCCCGGTTTAAAGTACTTGCAAAGATCTTTTTCTCTTACAGCAAGAGTTTTAGTTTTCTGCAAAATATGAATAAAAATAGACAGGTATTAATTGTGGAAACTTGATCTGAATGATTACATAAAAACGGAAAGGAAAATCGATTTGTGTTATACCGTAAGGCCCTCCACCTCCTCCTCTGCCATTGGTCTAATATGAACAATGTCTTCCTCCACTTTCTCAACCAAACCCTTCAAATTCTTCACATCTCCCTTGACAACAATAACCCGATCACCTTTCATAAAATGAATCTTCTTCCTGTTGGCAAATAAAGTGGATAGACTAGCCGTATCTCCATCTCCACTCCCTCCAGGTTGTCTGAATTTCTCAAGTTCATCAAAATTTGGTTGTATGTTCTGAGTACTAATTGACTTCATGGATACAGTTTTGTATAAGAAACCATCCTTGAACATCATGCCGCATATATACTCAAACCAATCACCGGTCACTCGGTCCTGTTTACGCCCCACATGGATGTGCATTTCTCTGAAGATGAAGCATAAAGGAATATCTTAACATAGATATGCCAGAAACAATGAGTAATTGTTATTTTGCTATTGGCGATAATAGAAATAAGGTTACCTTGCTTCATCAACATTCATACAACGTGGAAGAGGAACAAATGTCTTCTTCTTTGGAACTTCTCTACCTTCCTAAAACAAGAATAAGTTGCTCTTTTAATTACTAGGACATTTCGATGGAACATATGCAATTGCATTTTTATGATTAATCTGAATTTGATTAATTCAGCAAATATAATCAAACAATACAAAATGCTTATTTTTTCGGGCTCAAAGAAATTAAAACTTTGTAGACAATAAGTCAAACGAGCCCTAAGAAAATAAGTGAAACAATCCCTAAGAGAATAAGTCAAGAGTTGAAAGTATTGATCATTAGCTCTAATTAACAAGTAATAAAGATATACCAATTTATTTGCCAGAGCCTGTAAATTGATCCGTGGAATTAGTTTCACTGTAACTTTATGGCGTACATTATCTACATCCACAACCTAAAAATAAAAAACCTGAAAGTTAGAAAAAATATATAATAAAATAAACTGTAAAAGTAATATCACGAGGATCATGAAGAAAGGAAGAAGGTTCGCACTTTTGCAAGGTCCCCCTTGTATGTCCCAATCTTCATTCTGACCCAAGTATCCCGGGAAATATCAACAGCTTTGCTTTCCACAGAAAGGACGTCACTCATTTCTTTGATTGGAACAAGCAATACATTATTAGAATATATGTTCGTCATGCCCCTGCAAGCCTGAAGTAGAATCAAATATAAAAGGGTCAAATCATCGCACATATATGCATGAACCCAAATCCTCTCCTGTGCCATTTCATCACGTGTCACATCATGCGCTATTACATTGCTTATGCAACAAATTTTTCATGTATCTGTTGTGTTGCACCAACAATCCAATTGCAACACAAACCAAGGCACATGATCCTCTCCACAGATGGGGATCCAGATTCTATATGCATAGATAGATTATTGCAAAGAGTTTAGCAATGTACCTCCTTGACATGGGCTTCTTTGTCTGCTTCAATATATATATAGTTTTGGAGATGATCAAGGGCTATAGCTGACCTAATTTGCAATTCAGATCCTTTGTCAATGCACTTTTGCATTAGCCTAACAGCCACCTCCCTCTCATGACCAATCTAGCACAAAATTAAGAAGAAATACTTAATAAATACATTACGATTAAATCATGCAAGTAGGCAAGCACTAAAGATTATGAAATGATAAAATGAGTGTTATAACTATACCGCACACTTAACCAACCACAGCTTTGGATCCCTAATGGACGGCAAAAGAGCTTGTTGTTCTACAATACCCGTTGTTTCCTCATCATCATATTCTACTATGTGACTTGACCTAGCATAATATCTTGCGTGAATGCTTCTTTCCAGAGCTTCGACATCTTCCTCTTCTTCTTCATTATCTCTTGGCAGCAATACTGGGCGATGTTGCATCCTTCTAGAGTCACCTTCATCTTCAAGTTCAGCCCCACCGTCCAGTATGAAGTCTGTATGTTCAAACATTCAGACCATCAACAATCATAATGAAAACAAAATTATTAGTCAGCGAAAACAAAATTAGAAATAAAAAAATGCAGTTTGATCACTTGGTTGTTTTTTTTAAGAAGAGTTTTTTGAAAACTGAGTTAGAAGAGTTGTTGTTTTTAGATAAAAATTAGAAGCTATTTTGGGAGTTTTGTAAAGAAGAGTGAGTGAATACACGGACAAGATCGATGCCCACTTAAAAAACGTACTGAAAGCCCAACCTAAACGTAAGTCAATCCCTCATTTATAATGGTTTTTCTCTCATCACAGAAGAGATCTCTTTCTCCCTCTTTCCCGATCAAGAAGACATCTCTTTGTGTCCATCTTCAAGGTAAACCATCCATCACTCGCTCACTTAGATTCACAGTGTTTGTTCACGGATTTCTGGGAGTTGGATCCTCTTTCTCTATTTGGTTGATCTTCATGGTTTGGTCCCCTTTCTGATTTATTGCTTGATTTCTTTGTCACCGATTTTTCACATACTATGTCAAAGATATTAAAGGTTTCGTGGTTGTTAGAAATATGATATTCATGCCTTTTGTCTACATATTTTTTTGCTTTTACTTTCTAATTCAAGTTCATGAAGGTCTCTCTCTGTCATTTAGGGTTTCATACCTTTTACTTCATTGAAACCTGTTTCACTTTTGTGTATTTCAATGAATCGAGACAGTTAATCCTGAGAGTTTCAGTTAATATCAATTTCAATTTGTTGGTTTGTGTTCTTGGCATATGCCCTAATGATTTGTCCCGAACAATTGACTTTACCAAAGCTATATTCTTAGTTCAAAAAAACATCTAATAGTCGTAATAAATTTAAGAAATAAATAAAAGAGTAATATGCAATATTTTTTCGTTTTCACAAAACAATTTTCAGAATATACAACCAAGCAGATTTATGAGTTTTGTTTTTCAAACTGAAAATTTTGAGAACTGTTCTCCGTTTCGATTCTCTGAAATCTGTTCTTGAAAATAATTTTAGGAGTTGCAACCCAGCAAGGCCAAATTTTCACAATCTAATCGTGTTTATTTTTCAATATTTTGACACCAATTTCAGTTAGTACATGAATCATTCAACTTCTGCTTGTGATAAACACAATGTATGCATAGATTTACGTATATATAGAGAGAGAGTTGAATTATAGGAAAGAAACCCTAACCGTCTTCGCCTTCTTCCTCCTCCTCCTCCTCTTCATCACTGTCCACAGCCGCCTCGAGGTCGAAGAATTGAGACCCATACAGCCTCTTCGCGCGGTGACCACCACCACGACCGCCATCAAAATCGTCGTCGTCGTCCTCTTCCTCTTCGAATCTCCGCCGCTTACGATCGTCTCCTCGCCAGTAAGACATCTTTGAGAAACCGTAGGTACTCAGAGAGGGAGTGTGAGTGTTTTTTTGATTTGTGTCTTGCAATCCCTCATATTTATAGGTAGTGGCCGCCGTCCTAATGAGAATCTAGGTGGGCCCACCTTAATCTCCTCTCACTTTCCTATTCCTTTCTCCATAGTTGACTTTATCAAGTTTTACCAATGTATTTTAACAAAAAAAAGTTTTACCAATGTAATTTAATTTATTTATTACTCGATAATCGTACAGTAATTTCTTATTTTGATCTCTTAATTTATCGGTTTCATAATATAAAATTTACTTTTAAAAATAATATATATTTATTAATTATTAATTTATACATATATATATATATATATCTATATATACTAAAACAATTTTATCAAAACTATTATATTTGTGTGATCAAAGTTAAATTAGATAAGGAAAAATACATGTTCTATCGGACAGAATAGCCAATTCTATCACAGAATGCGAATGGTTTTAGAAAAAGAAAACTCCTTGAATTGTTGTATTTTGCATTAAAAAGATATTTTCTCAGCATATTAAAATTGCAATTATCCGAGAAATTTGTTTTTACCCTTACCGTGCATGGATGCATATATTACACAAACAGTCTGAATGCACCCGTTGTACGGTATAACAGGCGCAAAAAAAATATTCTTATAATTACCGTATCACGTATATCTCTTTTAAGGCATGGAACGAATTCAAAATTCATATTTAGTTTTGGGATCAGTGAACTTCTTTTGGATAAAATTTTGGAATTCAAGATGGACTTAATAGAAAAGATCCATATTTTGACCATTTGTTAATCCAGATTCAAAGTTATGATCCAAACTGGTGAAATGAATTTTGGGTTGGATAGATTTTCATGTTGAATCTCTAGTTCTCTACTGTTTCATGTCCTACTCGTAGATATAAAAAAACAAAATTTATTATTATTATAATTATTAGCTTGGCAAGAAACTTACAAGTTTATTGTTCATTATTGTTCATTGCATGCTCAAACATGACAAGTTCTTACTGTTTTTACTGAGTGCAACCCACCTGTACGTTATCTGTCGCGGGGCTATATATCACAACATTTTTTTTTTTTTTTAACGTATATCACTAACCGAAGAGAATGTGACATTGTTTTGCAGAAGAAGATTTTAGTCCGAATCCTAACTATTAACTTTTTTTCCCATAAATAAGTTTAAGACTGCTTCTCTCAAGGGAGATGAATTTGAACATTGTATATAATGCTCCATATTCAGACCACAAGAAAAAAATATCCACATAAGAACATCAAACATTTGTAAAATTAAAAGATGTACCATACATAGGTATAAAAGTTGGCATCACAACAAGATTACTCAACAGGATGATGGTTCAAACATCCTGCAAAATGATAATTTATTATTACATTCTTCATTTTTCGACCGTAGCTAGCCTTCACAGAGAAGGAGTTCTAAAGTAGGCTAAGGAATCCCACCGCGCTTTGGATTACCGGGAGGCGAAGGCCTTGGAATATATGGTCTAATAGGAGTTCCATGCTGGATAGGTCCAGGTCTTATGGAATTCTTCGAACTTGGAACCGGATCAATAGGGCGGTAATCGTCCAGATTTACACTGCCTGCAGCACTATTGTCAGTGCTTGAAGTATAGCCCTTTTCCTGCAGATCGGAAGGAGGAAAAACAAAAAAAAAGTCACATCCAAATCCAAGCCAAAAAACCTTGCCCGCGTCCTAGTTAAATGGGAAACAACTATTCTGAAGTGTGGCCACTCAGTTAACTTAGGTAGTTTTTGTCACAGCTCCCTGCATGGTCAAATGGACTTCTAAGCCTCAAAAGCTCTTCAGTTTAGTGCATGTACCTTCAACCTCCTGCTTGTTGCAGTCATCATACCATTGTCATCACGAGTCAAAGCCATATCTGACACTAATATGAAGAATGTTACGTAAGCATTCCAATTAATCTTGTTTTTCAAAGCTTAGAAGTGTTTAATCAGGCTAATCTACCAATTTAAATCACCGATATGTCACCATAAGTAACTTTGTGAAATTGATCTGCAAGCAAATATAACACCTACTGTAATTTTCTCCTGTATTTCCACCAAGGAAAAAAACACATGATAAAGCATTTTGGCTAGCATTGCCCAACAACAATTCAGTTTTCAGCTCGAATGTAAAGGTCATCTGCTGAATCATCATGCACCAACATATTAAACAAGCCGATCATAGTTTTAGAGGATTGATGATGACCGAAGAGTACAGAATTAGAAGAAAAAAGAAGCGCATTAGACCTGAATATCTATTGAATGGAGAATTATACACTCGATCTGGAGAGCCTCTTTTTTTCTTTTACCCTAAGTTCAAAACTTAAATTATGTCTTTGAAAAAACTTCACACCACCAAAGCATCACATCAACATTTATCAAAGCCTCATATGCTAACGCTTTCTGGTGAACGGAAATATATAGCAGTACATAAAGTAAGTGGTGTTAAACAAAAATGAGTGTGATTGAGCATCCCCCATCAACAACAATAACAAAAGAATTTTCTATTTTGACTTGCTCCCCCATCATGATGAAATGAGAGCGGAAAAAAAGCTCATGGGATTGACACGAGGAAGTGGGAATGGCTATGTTTTTGGAACCGTACTGCCAGCAAATATGAAGTTTATCTGTGTATGGATACAAGTTATGCCTTGGAATGAAAATTCTGAATCCACTTTGTCTAGGAACAAGAAAGCTAGAAGTAATGCAACTACAATCTCCAGGGGAGTACGATCCTAACTCAAGATGAAAGCTCGGGGCATGCTTAATTCGTGCAAATCTGATGAGAAGTGGTGTTTCCAGAATGGTTGAAGCTAGGAATTTATGTGAATGGTTACTAAATCCAAACACGAGTTTTAGCGGTTTTTGTAGTAGCTCTAAAGCATCTACTCCATTTACTTTTTCTAGACCAGAGTTCTAGGAATACTGATGGAATTAACTCTTGCTGTGAGACGGACAGAAATGTAATTTTAAGAAACATTCTCCATACGAGACAATCAAGTAGCTTGCTTGGTAGATCAACTACCAGACTTAAAGTGAACATATATTTTAGAAAGGAAGAAAAAAGACGAAGGATACAAAATTGGCCCCTCAAGTATCTTTATTGGATAGGGCAACTTGTTATGACCACCAATGAGGGAAAACATTCTTTTCGATTTTTTTTTCTCTTCTTTTTCAAGTAGATTCAAGAATGTTTGTGCACTCAAATTCATCCCACCAAAGGTTATAACCTAGGGGCTAGTGGTATCTCCTCTACCTTCCAAAGTGAAAGGTGAAGGTTCGAGTCCCCACAAGGGCAAATGGGCGTGCGTAAGTTTCTTGCCAAAGGAGAAGACAACATGATTTGTTAACACATTATAATTTACTTGAGAAAAGAAAAATTACTCAGTGCCGCTTTCACCTATGTGGAGTGGTGAGAGAGAGACTGGATTCAAACCAAACCTTCTTATCATCATGCTCGGCAATAAGTTAACGAAAGTAGAAAATTGATGTGAGTAGTAATCTTGTTTAGCTGAGCTTCCAGCCATGAACTTTCAAGGAGGCAGCTCTGATCAAATGCACTTGCTCGAATTATCAAGGTCCATAAATAAATTGCTTAATCTGACTTGACAAGCTATTCAACTCTCAAAATTATTATGCGACTAGTAATCCTGTATTTCATTCAGCTAATTTCAAAGCATTGTTGAAGAGAAGCTCCACTCTAGTTTCATTAGTGGCAATTACTTTCCTTCCATGAGCCACATTTAGACCCTAAAACACCAATATTGGCATTCAAGTTCAGCTCTAGTCTAATGTCTCGAGAATTATTTACCCAATTCATTATCTTCCCACCAAGCCAGTGAGGCAAAGCATTCTTTTCTATTATCTTTTTTCTCTTCTTTTTCAAGTAGATTCAAGAATGTTTGTGCACTCAAATTTTTCCCGCCAAGGGTTGTAACCGAGGGGCTAGTGGTATCTCCTCTACCTCCCAAAGTAGAAGGTGAGGGTTTGAGTCCCCACAAGGGCAAATGGGCATGTGTGAGTTTCTTGCCAAAGGAAAAAATAAATAAAAAATTTACTTCCCACCAACATCTTTCTCAGTGAGTATTTGCTTGTACCGACATAGAAGAAAACATGATTTATTAACACATTATGGTTTACTTAAGAGAAGAAACATTACTCAGCGCCGCTTTCACCTACGTGGAGTGATGTGAGAGAGAGACTGGGTTCAAACCTAACCTTCTTATCATCATGCTTTGCAATAAGTTGAGGAAAGTAGGAACTTGATGCGGGTGGTATTCTTGTTTAGCTGAGCTTCCAGCCATGAACTTTCAAGGAGGCAGCCCTGATCAAATGCACTGCTCGAATTATCAAGGTCCATAAATAGATTGCTTACTCCGACTTGACAAGCTATTCACCTCTCAAAATTATTATGCGACTCGCAATCCTGTATTTCATTCAGCTCCACTCTAGTTTCATTAGTGACAATTAATTTCCTTCCATGAGCCACATTTAGACCCCAAAACACCAATGTTGGCATTCAAGCTCAGCTCTAGTCTAATGCCTCGAGAATTATTTACCCTATTAATTATCTTCACTGGAACACTTGCCCCATCAAATTCACAAATATTTAGGTGTGGAGGAGGCCTGATTATTAACTAAACTGGTTATCCTGGCATTTTTTTGTGCGCGCGATAATGCGAGCGAGTAAGGAATGCAGTAAAATTAAGTAAGTTGATAATGCGATAATGCGAGCGAGTAAGGAATTACAAAATTAATATGATTCTTGAGTCGCCAAATTTGGCATTAAATAGAAAGGATTGATCACCTAGTTTAATATGCATACAGTAATCTACAAAACAGAAGTTCTTACTCTAGTACACATTATATATCAAAATATATACATGAAAATATGGCATTTTACTTTAAAGAGGATAAATAAAAAATAAGAACAGAAGGGATGAGAAAACATAACGACTCTATTGGGTAAGTTGTGATGTTAGCCAATTTCATGTGGGTGGAATTTTCATGTTATATAAAGTATAAAATATAGCAAGCCCTAATATCTGACAACACACAAAACACAAAGATACTGCCACAAATATGACATAGATAGACAACCTAGAAACCACCACCAGCAAACAAACATGTTTCAGATTCTTAATAGATTATTTATCTCAAAGATCGTCACATCGGTACCAAAAACCTAAACTTGTATCATTTTCCTTTCAAAATCACATTGGGTTTCAAGATCACATTGGGATCAAAGAAATGTAACATTTATACAAAAAATAAAAAAATGAAAATAAAAAAAAATAAATCACAGGAATTGGTGAGTTTATATACCTGGAACAGAGGAGGTTTTTTCTTTGGTGGAGAAGATGAGGAAAATCGAAGTTGTCCCAATTAGGAAAGAGAACAAAACCCTTAACACAAATCCCTTCATAATGCTCAAAATGAACTTCCCCTTCAAAAGTTTCCAATTTCTCTCCAAAACAGTTCTTAAATTCTTCAACCCATTGGAAAATTTTGTTCAGATTCTGCAGATATAAGGAGAACAGTACCTCCGAGCCCATATCGGTACATATATTTATATAAACACGTGTATGTATGTATGTATATATAAATATGTATATAATTTTTTTGTTTTTTTTGGTGAAGGGAGTCACTCATAATGAAGGATGTCATGTGGGTTTCATTGTCCTGCATTGGTGCACAGTAGGTAGAGATTAATGGCGTTTGTTTTTGGGTCGCAGAAAGGGAATTGAATGCTGTGGCGTGGTGGAAAGCGGGCCATGCAGACTTTAAGATTGTATTGGGCGGAGAGTTGTTTTCACCATGTCCCTGTTTTCCATGTCCGATCTTAATTTTGTACGGTTGTTTTTACTGTGTAAAGGAAAAGCTGCGTCTGTCTAATTTTTTTTTTTTTTTTTTTTTTTTTTTTTTTCAAATCTTGCACCGGTGCTATAGAATAAGCATTCGACTAGATATTGAATGTGGCGGCGCGTCATGTTATTAACGTATTATCTAAAACAAAAAAAAAGTCAGGTTACTCTCTCTTTACTTTGAAACTCTGTGAATTATAATTCTTAAAGTACTTAACTATTTAAAAACGGAAGGATTATGTTTTATTGACAACTGACACACCCAATATCTATTTATAAGTATCTATTAATTTAATTATGGGAGTCTCCTGAACCATGTTAATCATGTAAACATATGTAATACCAAACTACTTTACATCGCGATAGTGACAAAGCCATAAATTTACTTGAGAGGGTGCAATTATTTATGATAATATGATTTAAAAAATAAAAAATAAAAACAAAATAATAAATAGTAAATGAGGGGTTTTCTAAAATTTTGATTATTAAAATTTTGTGGGAGCTGTTGGAGGAGAAAAACATGTTTTTTTTTTTTTTATTTTTAAAATCTTGTTGGTCAAATGAGTTAGAAAATGAAAAGTTTTTTTTTTATTATTATTTTGGAAAATTTTCTCAAGGTCTTTAATGAATTTTGAAATTTTCAGTGAGGGCACTTTAAAAATTATAAAAAAAATATGTATAAAAAATGCAAATAATATAAAATTCCAGGTAATAAATGATTTCAGATCAATTAAGCCCACTAATGTTATAATATTGATATTTCCTTGCATCACTTACATGGTTGAAGGAAAATATTATAATGGACAATACTTAGATCTTCGACAATGTCGGTACATCATCATCAATGATGTATACTTATAACATGAACATATTCTCTTTAATTACCAAATGAAATATGGTAGAAAAAATTCTTAATTATCAAATCATAAATGGTGAAAAACACACTTATCAATATTACTCTTTATAATAATTTTTATTTTATTTTATTCTTATAACTAAAAATAATATGTATATTTATTATTAGTTTACCGCACCGTTAAGAATGAGGAACTAAGTCATTATTGGACCAAAATTATTTCAGGCTCCAAGGTGGTCAAGTCACGTTGGAATTAATATCCCGTGCTCGCCTTCAATGTCTTTGGAAGATTAGAGCAACATGTCTACTCAAGGAGATAGAGAAACATTTTCTAATTAATGCACATAAAGACTAACAATCATATCAATGTTTATACATGCACATGCCTAAAATGTGTGTAGATTCTGTAGCACAAACCACCTATTTCCTAACTTGACACTTTTAGCCCTTGGGCCTAGAACACCTGAAAAGCCATGGGCTCTTTGATGGCAAACGAGGCCACCGGACTTCAGGCCCAAATGATATAATTTCTGCTCTCCAAAAAGGAGGTTGAGAGTTCGAGCAATACATTATGGGCACAAGTGTGCGTTTGATTTAACCTCGGAAAGAAAATAAAACTAGTTAGGAGGGAGAGAGTTGTCTTTGACTATGTTTGATATGGTGGAAAAGAAAAGAAAAAATAACATTAGTTAGGAGATAAAAGAAAAGAAAATGAAGAAAATGAGAGGGTGTTTGGTTAACTAAAAAAGAAATAAAATGATAGTAATCATATTTGGGAAAAGAAAAGAAAGGAAACTATTTTAATAAATTTATTATCATACCCTTTTCTATAGATTTTGTTTTTTATACAAATAAAGACAATTTCGGTATTAACAAAGTTTCATTAACAAGATTAGTTTTTCATTCCCTTTCTTTTCATTTCTTCCCTTTTTTTTTTTTTTGAAGGATTACAAAATTGACACTTCATGCCTAATCTCTATCCTTTCGAATCCCTAGGATTCCTTTCTTTTCCTTTCAGAATCTATACCGAACATGATATTTTATTTCCCTTCATTACCTTTCTTTTCTTTTCTTTTCATTACCCTCCGACCAAACTGGGCCTTAAACTGTGGAGCAGAGATAAATATCAATTTATAGACCATCAATGTCTGAACGTTAGAGCACTTCCAAACATGGGCTCGACCAATAAGTTCAGTCCAAATAAGATCCACTGTAGTAGTCCAATTCGGGGGACTTTGAATAACTTGTGTAGTAGTAGTATTATATCCAGATGCCATTTTTGCGATAGATGTTGAAATTTACATGGTTTTGTAAGAGATTTCTGGTTAACTATGGAGGAACCTATTGTACTTGAATATTTATGCTAGTAAAATTGTAGTACAAAAAAAAAAAATTGCTTAAGAAAATTGTGTGGGTGTATATATATATAAATGATCATAACATTATTTCATGAAATTGTGCTTTCAAGCTTTTTTTTTTTTGATTTTGACAACTCACAAGCTTATAATGCGATACAAAATAAATATATATTTTGTGAGAGTGCAAACTAAAATCGACCAATCTTAAACATTGCTATTAGCAACGAAATATGTCAAAAGGACTAAAAATTATAGGTTGAAAATTAAAAAGTTAATTCAACCATTTTTGTTCGGTTGAATGGAAGAGAATGAAAAAAATTGACAATTTAATTTAATCTAGGATAAAATGACTAATAAAATTTTAAGTTGTTTTTACCATTAAGCCCCTCCCTTACTTTATTTATGGGATTTAACAAATATTTTTTGAAGGATAATGCAGTAATTTAAACTTTTATAATAGGCTCAATTGTTTTCTCTCCTATATTTCGCCAATATTTGGGCGGCTGAAAATTTGTGAAGAATGAAGAATGACTCATTCTTCCTATTATCTTTTATTTCCTTATATCATCTCTACCCAATGAAAGAAATTTGTTCCTTCCTTCCTATTTTCCTTCCACCCTTTTTCATTCATTCCTACCGAATATAGAGTTAGGTAGGAAGAAAAATATATATTAGAGTCAGTTTGAACTATTGAACATCAAAAAGAAAGAATAGACTACAACCATCTAATAATTTATCTTCCTTGGGATATGTCTCTCGTGCTCCCTCCAAAATAAATCTGAAGGCTAATATTAAGATACGTCATTTGCCACGTCATCCTTTCCCTCTTTTTTATGTCTCCTTATCTCTCCCTAAATCTTATATATAAGACTAAAATTTTCTCTTCCCTTTTCAGTAATTTTCATATAATTAACCTACCCATAACCTACTCTTTTCTCTCAAATTGTGAATTTTCTTTGGATATTGCTCCTGATTTTATCAGCTTCAAAACCAACCATTGAAGTTTTAGGTTTTGCTCATTTAACCTGGGAATAATCATAAATATGTTGAGTTAAAAAAAAAAAAAAAAATCATAACAAATTAATAAACCAAGAAATCAATTAAGGAATTCATTGGGTCTCTCTGAAAATTAATTAAGGTTTTAGGTTTGGCACAATTTATTATTATTATTATTATTATTATTCATTTTTTTGTTTACAGAATTAATCATTTTTTTCTTTTATTTATATATGTGTGTATATGTTACGTTTAGCACAACTTTGAAGAAGCCGGCGGATTTCACCAAGTAAAATTTAGATATGAAAGTTACCTAAAAGGGAAGAGAAAAATTTGGTCTTAATATCTAAGATTGTGGGGGCGGGGCGGGGCGGGGCGGCGGGAGGGGGGGGAGAGGGAGATGTGACAAACGTGTCCTGATGAATGACATGTCTTAATATTAATCTTTAGATTAATTTTGAAAAGAGCAAGAGATGTCCTAATGAAGATCTCTATCCGTAATTTATTCACAAAATAAAATTTATATAAGGATAAAGTGCAAAAAAAAATTCATGTTATATACGAAATGTGCAAATACCTATGCTGTTAAAAAAAACCCCATGCATTTTTTAAATTGAGCAAATACGACAATTCTTCCATTTAAGCTTTGAAAAACCTAAAATGTCATTAAGAGAAAAATTAAATTAAAAAAAAACAAAAATAAAAATTATTAAGTAAATAAATAAGGGCATTTTTTATTTTTTTATTTATAAAAACTCAAAAAAATATTTTATTAATTTATTTTATCTTGTTTATTTAATTTATTATTATTATTTTTAAAATTACTTTTTTTATTTATCACAAAAAAAAGAAATACCTAAAATTCTGTTAGGGCTATTTGGAATTTTTTTTAAAAATCTGATCAAAATTGATGAATTGGGGCAATTTATTCCAAAATTTTAAAATATATAGGGATTTAATAAATAGCACGGTGTTCTTTTTTTTTTTTTGATGCACTTTACTTAAAAAAAAAAAAAAAAAAAAAAAAAAAAAAAACATCTAGACTGATCGTATAACTAAGAAAAAAAATGAAAAAGTACGTAAAAAAAATTAATGGGACGAACACCGAAAATGGGCGAGTGACAAATATTCATTCACTCTTGAGCTTTATAAAAATAATATTTCAATTCTTTTGCCGTATTTCTCACTTTTACACTCCTTTTCGTCGTTAACCTCCCGATTTCTTGTTTCTCTCCCCTCTCTAAAGTTGAGGGATTCACCGGAAACGCAACTGATCGATAAACGGTGCGCGCATACATATACATACATACACACATATATATATATACACACGTCTATCTCATTTTCAGGGAGATTGCGATGGACCCTTCCATTATGAAGCTTCTTGAAGAGGACGAGGTTACGTTTCTCTCTCTAACTCTCACTCTCTCTTATTGCACAATACATGTTTGAATATGATCACATATTTGTTATATATAAAATATAAATATATATATATGTGTGTGTGTGTGTGGCTGAAATTTATTGGATTTGTAAAAAAAGGGGAATTGTTGGGATGATAAAATCTAAGTTGTTATCATCTGATACGTTTACAGGACGAAACTATGCATTCTGGGGCGGATGTGAAGGCGTTCACTGCTGCTTTAAACAGGGACATTGAGGGCCACACCTCCACTTCTCAACCCTCAGACGGTGGTGGTGAGTATGCATCTCTACAAGCTTTGGCTTTGTTTCCAATTCTTGAGTTATGCTTTCCTTTAACCCACCACCAAAAATTGAGTCTATATGTTTATCAATCAATGTGCATTCGTTCAAGAATGAGTATGAATGTATTAAGAAGTTGATGAAATCCATCCCGCACAGGCGGCTCAGCCGGTAAGACCTTTGGAGTATTCCCCTCAGTGTGATTGTGTGCACAAATCATCCGAGAAAAAAGAAAAAATAAAAAAAGAAAAGTTGAGGAAATCTTAGTAAAATTAGCCCTTTAAGGGGATAATTAATCATTGGGGTATCGAATAGATTGTTAATGGAGAAATATATTGGGTTTGTTTTGTCTGCATTCTATTGATTCAATGTCTTCTTTTGAAAATTGAAAAAAAAAGGATGGTCTTTATACATAATACAAAGCTAAGGATGCAAGTTACAGTATTCATTGGTTAATTTAGGAGCTGAGTGAGAATTATAAACTCTGGTTTGAGCATTCACCATTGTTTGTGTTTTACAAATGCCGATGGATACCGAATTCTGCGTGGATACTAGAAGTTTATTGTTAGCAGCTAATTACTTTTACAGACCAAGTTGTTTATGCCAGTTAGCATTCTTTTGATGTCAATTTGCTGTTTGAAAAAGTAGAGGCCGTGACATTTTCCTTCTTCTTATTTTTCTTCTTGTTCTTAGAGCCCAAATGTGTAGCTGAGTATGTAATAAGGGTATACTGCTTGAAAGGTTTATGCACTGAGTTGAGTGAGGTGTGGGATGCTGCTGAAGCACATGTAGGTTGAATCAGGTGAATGAACATGTTACGTGTTGATTTTACAGTTATCATTGGATTCAAATTTACCTGAGGACTGAGCCCATAAAGTTCAATAATGATTATTTTGACCGGGAACTTAGGTAAGGATTATGATTTCATTTTAAAGGCACTGAATGATTGCATGATTTGAGTTCGAAAATTCTGGGAGTGGCTGGGAAGTAAATTGTTTTTAGGCTTGCTGCTCTTGATACACATACATAGTATATATTAATGACTAACAAAGCATTATGAAAACACTTTTCTTTTACTCTGATTCTTCTTTCTGTTATGTTGAGTAGGATATTGCATAAAATGGCAGTTTATTTATTATTCTCCTATGATTATTGTATCTCTAATTTTGTTTGTCCCTCATGCGATAACATTTCAAAGTTCCATTTGAAGATTCAAAACTTAAGCCCTGCCAAGTACCGTGGATGCCTCTGTGCCTCGATATTTGCAATTCTATGTCTTTGACTTTCTTATATGGTTTTTTTTTTTTTTTAAATAAATTTTTCATGTGTCCCGCTCAACTTCTTGATTAGTCATAATTTGTTAATTTTAAAAGCAGCAGTTTCATCTCAAGGAAACAGTCACACTTCCAGTCAGTTGTTTTCACAGTGGCAACCGTCCAGCCTAGATAGTAAGGCCAATTTTCAAAGTGAATATCTGAAGGGTTCAGAGCAACAAGACCAACATTCGTCTGAAATGGAGCTAAAGCAACCTGGATCTGTTTCTGAGAATCAGCAACAACAAATCAATACCACACAGGAACTGAATTGCCTCCCTTTGCAACAGAAACAATCGCAAGATGATTGTCAGCGACAGCAAGCCAAAGCTGAACAAAGTACTGTTCATTTTCCTCAAATAGTGGGCATGCAGACATCGGAACAGAATCCTAGCCATGCCCTAGAGCCAGAACGAACACAGAATCTGGAGAGTGAATCTCAATACCCAAAATTACAGAAGATGGGTAATCAACAGTCAATGACACCAGAGCAGGCAATTAACCCGACAAATCGTAGCAAGCAAGTGCCATTTGCCCAGTTGCTACCAGTGATACAACCCCAACTCGATAAAGACAAAGCCATGCAACTTCAAACTCTTTATTATAAATTGAAGGCAGGTTTCGCACATGGATTTCTTTACCAATTGCAATGCTTTTATTTTATAAAATGACATATTTGTATTATTCTCATCCACTTGGTGAAAATTTTCCTATTTTCAGAAAAGTGAAATCTCAAAAGATGGATTTGTTAGGCTCATGCGGAATCTTGTTGGAGACCAGATGCTTAAAATGGCAGTGTTTAAATTGCAAGCTCAGGTAAATAGAAAATGTTTTGATGTAACTATTATACTCCTAAAACCCTTTAATTTGATTGCAGATTAATGCTAAAACCAAGCTTGGATACAGGCTGCTCGAAACTCACACACTGAACCCAACCAAATTTCATTACAGTCTCAAACTTCAGCGCAACAGCATAATCTGAAAATGCCATCTATAAGTGCCAAACAGCTCCCTGATCCCCAATCATTCGCGCAAGTTCATCGGAAGGGTATCACTTCTCATATTGCTTCTTTGGCAGCGCAATTGAAGATTGATTCAAGTAATGCATCGATGGATAATAATGCTCAAAAACCCCGGGAGGTGGAACGTCAATCAGATTCACATGGAATGCAAGTAAGTCAAATGTCTTCTTCCAGTTTGAGTACACTAAATCAAGAAAGGGAGCGAGCAATCCAAATACAAGGGCTTATCAATCTGCAACAACAGCAGTTGCACTTCCCCCAGTCTTCTTTTCCCATGTTTGGAAATACTGGTGGTAATTATCACCCATTTTCTGGAGCAAATGTTAATGCCTCGACAACATCCCTCAAACAGCAGCCTCATGATTCACAAATTAGGCAAGTTCCAGTTCATCAAAGCATGGGTGCAACTCAGTTAGGAACAGTAACTCAGACCGTGAATGTAATGAGTGTGCCTAAATTTGAGAGAAAAAATTCTTTCAGTGAACCGAAAAGAGTGCATGGCGGAACTCTTTCTCACTTGACAAATAATTCAACATTGCAACAGAATTCAATGCATTGGCAATCATCAAGCGGTAAAGAGCAGAAAAATAGTGCTTCATCATCGATGACTTATGTAAAACAGGAACCAGTTAATCATGCGAACGAGCAACAGCAATCCCAGTTGTCTATGCAGCAGGGGTTGTCTGCTATTTCTTCTGCACAGGTAGAACAGGGAAATGCAATTCTAGGAACTTCGAAGGATGGAAATTTTGAGATGCAGTCCTCTAGGATGGAGTTCTCAACATCTACAAGTATGGTGCCATCAAATTCAGTGTCATCATCCATTACAACCCAGGTGGACACTAATATCTTGGTAATTTTGTCTTAGTCATCTATTCTACTCTGTTCTTTTAATATGTGAGGTTCTGATGCATGAATTGAAAATTCATAATAAAACATCTTCCTTTCCCTTAAGAGCACGCTAGCTCTGCCGTGGAGTTTTTCCATCTTCCATTAGATACCAATGGTCGTCCACTAGGATGTCCTGAGCTCTTGGTATTGGTGGGTTACATAGAGATGCATGTTGCCTATTTGCTTGCTTGCTCAGTGTCAGCAGGTTTAAGATAAATGTCATATTCCATTACAACCCAGGTGGACCCTGATATCTCGGTAATTTTGTCTGAGTCATCTATTCTACCCTGTTCTTTTAATACGTGAGGTTATTATGCATGAATTGAAAATTCATAAAAAAAACATATTCCATTTCCCTAAAGAGCACCCTAATTCTGTTGTGGAGTTTTTCCATTAGATACCAGTGGTTGTCCACTGGGATGTCCTGAGCTCTTGGTATTGGTGGGTGACATATTTTTTTTCTTCCTGAATAGGTGAATGACGTAGAGATGCAATGTAACCTATTTGTTTTCTTGCTGAGTGTCAGCAGGTTAAGATAGACTTCCAAAATGGACATTGTAACATTTGTGGGGAAGATGCATACAAACGATGATTCAGTGGCTCATTAGAACCGCCCAAGGGCATGGAGATATTATCATTAATTGGTGGTCGTTATAAACCTTTCAAAAGCTTTGGGTTGTTTTAGATACTGGACTCCAGCTTAGTGAACGTAAACATGGATTTCTTAGCAAAAAGAGGGATTGCCAGTTCTCATGTGTTTGCCTTCTTGTCTTTCTCTATATAATTGTTTCTTTTCTACTCTCTCTCTCTCTCTCTTCTCTTCCCATCCTGCATTTCATCTTCTCATGGATTTCTTTTCTGTCTTCTTCTTCCTCTTCTTTATTTATTATTTATTATTATTTTTATTTTATTTTTTTCTCAAGGTCTTCTCTTCCCATTTTGCAATTTATCTTCCTATTACTATTAAAGACTTACTTTCTTGTCTACTGAATGTTGTAGTCATTTGTGCTTGATGAGGTACTTGTTTAAGATTTGTTGTAATTTCTTTATTCACTGTTACTGATTAGTTTACTTGTTACTTTTATTTTTCATCAGTTAACCTCTCGGTTCCCTTCTGCAACCTCTCCACTTGGGCCTGGAAGTAATGTGAAAACACATCTCAAAAAGCCTCATGTTGGCCAGAAGAAACCTCTTGAAGCACTTAGTTCTTCACCTCCTTTGTCAAGGTGATGTGACCTATTGAATTCTAAAACATTTAGATTATATTTTATTGGTTAAAGCAACTTGATTTTGTTTCTCATCAACCTTATATTTGTTCTATAAATAATTTGGCACACATTTTTGGGATATCCTACAGCAAGAAGCAAAAATTATCTGGTGGGGTCTCTTTGGATCAAAGCATTGAGCAACTCAATGATGTCACTGCTGTCAGTGGAGTTAATCTCAGGGTATGGTTATTTTTCGTCATATATTCTATCTTGTTAAGATGCATATACTTATTATGTAAATAGTGGACAGACTTTTAGTGAGGAGCTCACAATGGTTTTGCTGTTCTTTTATTAAAAAATAGGAAGAAGAAGAACAACTTCTTTCTGGGCCCAAGGAGGACAGTCGAGTTTCAGAAGCATCTCGAAGGGTTGTGCAAGAAGAGGAGGAAAAGCTGATTTTGCAGAACTTACCCCTTCAGAAAAAATTGACAGAAATCAGTTAAAGCTTTCTTCTGTCATATATTTAAACCCTGTGAATATATGCATTTTGTTGCAGGAGGTAAAAGCAATTTCACTTAGATTGACATCTAGGATTTGTGTTTGTCTGGCAGTAACAAAATATGGTGTAAAGAGTATTAGCAATGATGTGGAACGATGCTTGTCATTGGTGAGATTTTTGTTACTTCATGCTTTTCTATTATTATCTGTTACACTGTTCTTACACAACTAAATGATCAGTGTGTGGAGGAAAGAATGCGTGGACTGATAAGTAGCCTGATCAGACTGTCAAAACAGGTCAGTTGACCCTCTTTCATTCCTTTCTCTGTAGTCTGTTTGCAGAGGATTTTCTTTTTCTGTTCTTAAAAAACAAAGGAATTGTTTTGTAGCGGGTTGATATTGAGAAGCCTAGGCATCGGATTGTTATCACCTCAGATGTTCGGGAACAAATCATGATAATGAACAGGAAAGCCAGGGAAGAATGGGAGAAAAAACAGTCTGACGCTGAAAAGCTCCAAAAACTCAACGAAGCGAGTGAACTTGATGTTAAATATTAAGGTTTCTGTGCCTTTTTGGATATGTATTCATTGAAATTTTTAATTTTTTAAATTAATGCAGCCTGAAGGTGATCCTGAAGTTGATGACGATAAGGAGAAGGATGAAGGCCGTGTAAAATCATTTAAGGTAATAGTGATGATTGATTTCTGGACATTTTTCGTTTACCACTAAACTGGGAAATGAAATTCATATCCTTACAAAATTTCTTACATATGCAGGGTAACAAAGAGGAGGATGACAAAATGAGGACCACAGCAGCAAATGTTGCTGCCCGAGTTGCTGTAGGAGGAGATGACATGCTGTCAAAATGGCAGCTGATGGCTGAGCAGGCGCGGCAGAAACGTGAAGGTGGAACTGATGCGGCATCTGGTTCTCAGCCAGGTAAGGATGTGAGCCACAAACCTTTATCAACCTCAGGAAGAAATGGAAATGATAATCTAGAAGCAGAAAAAAGGGTGCATTCAGCTACTGTGGCCACATCTGGTGAGTATGATCTCCAGTATCATTGGTCTAATTCTAATGTTAGAATGAGATGCTATCTAATTCTAATTTTATATACCACAACTGCTATATCAAGGAACTGCCCGTAGTGTTTATCTGTACATTTTACTTCAGTTTCGCGTGTCAAAATATATTAGGGTATAAATTGGCTGCAATAGTTATAAATCTGAACCTTATGACTTATTATCAATTTATATGATTTATTAACAAATTTTCTATTTAAAAAGAAATAAAGAAGTATACATCATTAAACATACAAAGGGACAAATGATAGTGGTAGTTTCCTGCATGTATCATTGTATCAAATACTTGCTGCATTCGCAAGGGTGAATTGTTACTTGCTACATCATTTGTAGATATATAATAAAATGCACCCAATTGATCTAAAGTTAAAATCAATTGCTCCAAAAGGTTAACTCATATCATTCCTTGTGTATACAGTTATCATCCATTTTTTTTCTCGGTCATAATTGTTTACAATCCATATTCGCACTTTGAGAAATGTGTTCTGCACTCTACTCCTTTTTATAAGTGCAAAATATCACCTTGCTAATCCTTTTGTCTTTATTCAATTTTTTTTTTTTTTTGGGTTAGTGCTATGTGAACTTTAAACTGGCCCTTGTTATGGCTGGTTCAGCTGCCAATTTAAGGGGCGAAATGTATTGACACATTGGAATGGACATGCTTTCTTGTGTACATCCATACATTCACGCAAGAGTTATTCACTTAAACCTCCACCTTTTCTTTTGTTGAAAGATTGTTGCATGGACTTGTTTAAAATCAAATTTCTTTATTTCTTTGTTAAATAGTTTTATTTTGATGTCATAATGTGCTGTTGATTAGATGGTTGAACCAGTACTTGCTGGTTTTTTAATGCTAGAATGTTGAGAAACCTGCGAAAAATGTAGTAATTTATGGGTTGGTGATCAACTGATCGTTTTAACATCCTGAATCATTATTCCACCATTAATATATTAATCCATATAAACGGGAAATGGTTGTGATAAGCTGACGGACATATCCTTCAACAATCCCTGATAAAGTAGTTTTCTTTCCTTTTCTTTTTGTTGGGAGGAATAGGTCCTCCATTTATTTTGGTACATTGAAGAACACTATATAACCATCTTACACACTACTATTTGAACCTGGGGTGGTGTGAACCCCCATCCTTTTCATGCCTTCTAGGTTTTTTTTTTGGGGGGGCCCCCCACCGGGGGGGGGTGGGGTGGTTTGCGGCCCCTGAATCGTACCGTCTTGTGTTTTTTATTTCCTTTCTGAATGATGTATTTTTGTCTTAGATTCTGTATTGTACAGTGTTTCCCTCCCTTTTGGGAGGAGAACTACTTATTTTGGTTCTCATTTCTTATCTTTGTAATTATGGGACTTGGAAGTTAATAAAATTCACCAAAATTGAACGAAGTAATACGAAATGTTAGGTTTGTACCTAGTCTGCCCTTCCCGACACCCTCGACTAATGGGGACTATACTAGGTAACGACCCAATTACTTTTTGTATCAGAGGCAATGTAAAAGATCAACATAATTATGAAGTTCGTCATTTTATGGAATCAGATACAAGAAAAATTCGAACTCCATCATAATTGGAACAAATTATGAAGAAGGTTTTGAGTTTTAAAAGCTGGTGTTAGAATCGTTAAGGGGTTTGAATGTCTCTTGGCCTTTAACACTGTCACCTCTCCCCACCACACAAAAGAATTTTTTTTTTGATTAAAACTTCAATAATATGTGGAATTGAATGCCTCTCTTGGCCTTTAGCACTCTCACCTCACCCCACCACACCTCAAAAGATTATTATTTTTTTAATTAAAACTTAAATAATATGTGGAAGTATATGGAAGAAAAAGGAGGAAGTATTAAGAAAAGAAATGGTTCAAATACAAACGCATTGCCAATGTGTATAAAACAGCCTGGTTTACACATTTTTGTGTGCCATGATATCTTATATAACCTCCGAATTCTATGAACAATATAGATTGGTACAAGTATCATTGCTCTACTGGTTCTTTGTGAGATAAAAGATCTTTTGATTTGTCAGAACACTTGCCCCTTGATTGATGGGTAGCCAGCCCCTACTAGCTACTAATTGGAACGAGGCTTCTGAGTGATGCTTCTAGAAAATTCCAGCCATGATGTCTTTCCGCTATTGCTACTCACGTGTTGATAAATTCTCTAGTTATCTAGAATATGGCTTCCTTTCACTTCTGCTACATGCCACTTTCCTGGACATATGCTGATGTGCATGGTCGATGTAGCAATATAGCATGCAAGTGTTTCAATCTTAAGATTATGTAAAAGTATTTTTAGTTGCTATTGCCTCCTTGGATGACATCGTGGACACTCTTGGCTAAATCTTGTACTTTTCTAATGAATCAAATGGGGCCTTCGGTGTACTTAACTTCCTAGATATGATCCATAGCTGTACGTGCCTTGTTGAGTTCGTTCTGATTTTAGCCCGCTTTTGCTTTCTATAGGTCTGAGTAGAAAATTCGGAAGGAATCAAGTTGCTATGCCTCAACCTAGGATCTCCCGCAGTATCTCTATTAAGGATGTCATTGCTGCCCTTGAGAGAGAGCCCCAGACCTCAAAATCTACACTGATGTATCGCTTGTATGAAAAATTGTGTGCAGATGCTGTAGCTGAATAATTTGTGATGAATCATGGTGCAGTAAGATATTCAACTCAATTGTGTGCAAAGCTTGCAAGATGTTTAGAGTTATTCTCTTCTTGTTAATTTCCTGTAATTTATTTGCAGTTTAGAACTCTAGATGTAGTGCATATAGGTTCAATTTTCTGACTGCTTTTTGCCTCATTATGTATTTATTTAGTTCTTTAGCAGGTCAAATCTGCTTAATTTGGGTATTAAACAGTGAAGTTTTGGGGACTTTTGAGGTGTTGTCAAATTACTTGATTGATTGATCTCAACTGCCGTCTATTTTTCGCTTGATCCATCTGGTCATTAGTCCGTATGGTATGATCTCTCCTTCCCAAAAGGGAGGTTGACAATTCGAGTCTTTCTAAAGGTAATATTGTGGATATGTGCGTGTTTCTTTGAACCTCTCAAAAAAGAAAATTTGCTACATTGCTACATCAGCAGGTCTTTGAACTTTATTTATTTTCAGTTGGATTTGCTTTCTTATTTCCTTTTTTACTGTTATTATTAGGATACTTATGATCATTATGCTTGTCCTAATTTCATATGAATGGGTCGGTCAAGTAAATTCTCTCTCTCCAATATTTCTTATTACATGCCATTTCATCTACTACTAATGTTTTAAAGTCATTTCTAACTTATCAAAAAAAAAAAAAAAAAATGTTTTAAAGTCATTTCTAATAATCTTGTCCCGTGTTAGTTTTGGTCGACCTCTTCGTCTCTTACATTCTATTACAACTAGCTTTCCTTGTTTGACTGGGTATCTCTAGGTGTCCGATGTATGTTCAAACCGATGTATGTTCAAACCATCTAAGTCTTACTCTTTCTAATTTTCTGATCAATGGGTGCTAACATTTTCATTCTCTTACATGAATGTATTGTTCTTGTTTTTTTTTCCCATACTACTAGTAATATCACTATTTATCATTTCATCCTTTTGTAATATTGATTCTATATAGGTAGTTTTGAATAATCTTTTGGTTTTAAAGTATTGTCATTATATTATCACCCGATTCTTTATTAAATTTAGGCTCTATATATTTGATTTTAGTTTGACTAATTTTCAATCCTTTTGGTCTAAAACATTTCTTCACATTTTTAATTTTATTGTTAATTTGATTTATTTTATTTTATTGTTAATTTTATTTATTTAATTTTATTTTTAATAGAGGAATCTAAGAGCACTGTGTCATGGGCAACTATCATGGGTTGAAATCTTGACTTGTGGCTTTTTGGGCTGAACTAGGCTCCGTTTGTTTTAAAAAAAAAAAACCGAAGAAGGAAAAAAACCAAAGAAGTAATAAGAGAAGAAAAAGAACAATACTTAAGTTTTCACTAGTGAGGGTTTACATAATAAGAAAAATTTGACCTTTTTTTTAAAAGGAAATTAAAGAAACTTAGAGTAAATGAGGAAAAAAAGGAAAAAGTTAAAAGAGAATTTTGGAAAGTTAATATTTTTAGGGGGACATGATATACAAATTTTTATATATATGTAAAAATAATTTTAAAATTTATGTATATTATATAGGGCGGGGCTAGGCTAGAAAATTGATGGGTAAGTTATTATTGTTAGAGTTTAATATATATATATATATATATAGTCATAAAATATTTACAATATATATATATATATATATATATATATATATATATATCTAAAAATTAAAAATATTTTACATTCAAACAAACAGAGTCTAAATATAAATATCATGATGAGAATGAGTTTAGATTCTTCGGATGTTATATCTAGAGTTCATAGTGTTTGGCTAGGGACAGAATTATGACAAATATAACTGCAACTGCCATTAATTTAAATTTTAAACCATAAATCAAACTCAAAATTCCCAATTTCACGATTGAAGAACAAAGGGAACTCATGTTTTTACATGTAGAAATCATACTTTGTTAGTTATCATATTCGTGAGTTAATGAAGTTGTATTGTAACAACAAGGCTGCTATTAGCATTGCCCACAATCCGGCTCAACTTTTCTTTTTTTGAGATGTAAAGTATCAACTACATAACCTTGATTTCTCGTTGATAAATAACAATAATAATAATAATAATAATAATAATAATAATGTATTTCCTGCATAACATGTGCTAAAAGATAAGCATATTGCCCTTTCTTGCAACTTCACAACCAAAGTTCAATTGCGTAAGCTCCAACACCCATGAACATTACATAAGCCATTACACATAATATATATTATATTACTAACATACGCACACATTAATCCAATCATCTATTTAAAATATTATTAGAGAATTTCTAAAATCAAAATATTAATGATGATAAAAGACTACAAAGTATAAAGATCGGATTTATCAGACCAAATATCAAAAGAACATAGACAAAGCAAATAGTACTGCTTCTCTAGCCTCGCCAAAATATTGTAAGCCATGTTTGCTATAGACATATAAGCTTCAAATGCAATCTTTTAATTTTTTTATTTCTATTTTTTTAGTTTCAGACTGTGAATAATTGTAATTATTTATTACGTTTGGAAATTTAGAAATAAAAATTTTAAAAATGGACATCATGCAGCTTCCTTGCAAATTTTCTTGAGCACCAATAGCGACGGGCAAGGGCGGAGTACGTAAATTATTTAGGGCCGGAGAAGTGTTGTGTAGTGTAGTATAGTGTAGTGCTCTAGCCTAGAACGTCTTCTACCTATTTGTTTATATGTGTGTGTATATATATATATATATCTCGATTTATTGGATATGATTTACTGTTTTAACCTTAGACAAGATATGGCACACTTCTATTACCCCCTTTGAAGATTTGATTTCTCAATAATCCATTTGATCAAGAAAGGAAGCAATGCTAATTGAGATTAAGACTAGTGGTTATTGAATATTGATGGATAATTTTGACCATTTTTTTTCTCCATTCAATATTTTTAGTGATAAGTGATGTCTTTCTTAATTAAAGTTTTATTTTATTTTAAGTAATGTTTATTATTTAAAATGATATAAATTTATATTATCAAACATACTTAATTAAATAAACACTTAATGATATTTAACTTGCTAGTGCCACCAAACTTTTTCTGCATTATGAAGCATACAAGTTAATCCAATTCCAGCCACAGGCCAATGAGGTCTAAATTAAGTGGTCCATTGATTATAACCTTTTTTTGGTCCTTGAGCAAGTGTGAAAGACTTGCAATGCCCAGGGTAGTTGACCTATTCAACGTCTTTTATTTATAGGTTTTTTAATATTTTGTGATTTATTAAATGTGACAAGATATATTTACATATCGAGCTCCCATGCAAAAGTTTACAATATTTAATGGTACCAATCAATATGTGGTACCCTATTCAATAAACAATATAGAAACATTCAATTTTTTGTGTATTTGAGCAAATTGAGAGTTTTCATGTTTGGTTGCTACACGAGATATTCTAGACTTTTTCCAAATTCAACATGCACACTTTTATTATCTCTAAAGTCAAATTTGTGAATGATAAATTGGAACTTGAAAAAAAGAAAGTAGTACTAGTATATCTAGAATGATAAATTGGAACTTGAAAAAAAGAAAGTAGTACTAGCATATATATATATATATATATATATATATTTTTTTTTTTTGCATTTTGAAAGCACAAACAACTCTTTCATCTCATCACCAATAATAATGATCTTTTCATCCTTCAGCAATCGCGAGAGACTTGCAAGGGCCGAGTAGATGAATCATTGAATGTCTTCGGTTTATTTATTTATATATATTGATTTATTGGATGTGATTTACAATTTTTGCCTTAAACAAGAGATGACACTCTTTTATTACCTTTGATTTCTCAAAAATCTTTATGATTAAAAAAGTAAGAGTGAGTTCAGTCGAGGTGATTATTGAATATTGATGGATAATTTTGACTAAAAACAATCATGCTAAAAGTAAACTGTAGACATTTTTATTTATTTTATATTATGATTTTTCTAACTTGTACATAACCAATGTTATTCATGCCTAATAAATAATAAAATTAATTGTGAGGGCCCTATATAGACACAAATAGATGATAAGTATGTGAGAAGAGGAAGACTTGGCTAAAGTCGGTCAATTTAATTCTAGCCACACGTGAATGGGTCCTGTGCATTTATTCTCAATGACTTTAGCCCAGTTATGTGATTTGTTTATTATGTATGATCTTTTTATTATGTACAATCTTTTGTCTGTTGAGCATGGGCTCAAATAGGTGAAAATTTTAAAGTAGTATCATTTATTTATTTACTTAATGTTTGTTATTTATTGAACATAATTAATACTTTTTACACCGGCTAAGATATACGAGAGACAATTTTTATTTTATTCCTTTGATCGTAACGTTGCAATAGGAGCAACTTTCACTAATATATGGAGAAAGACTTATAGGTTTTATTTGAATTGAATGATTAGAAGGGATTTGAAAAGAAAAAAAAGGTAGTGTTCGGATTAAATGATTTGAAAAGAAAAGAAAGTGGAGATTTGAAGAGTTATCCCTTCAATTCCAATTATACTTTCATCATTTAAAAACTTCGGGTCTCCAAGGGGGGTGAATTGTAATGACCTTGTAGGCGGGTGTGAGACACTGACAAGTTACCACATTGGTGAGTTACGGGTGCACAATCCCATATCGCCTGAAAAAAGGAAAGGTGAAATGTTTATATGTAGGTGTGTCACTTTAATTGGTATGAGGCCTTTTGGGATAAAACCTAAGAGCAAAACCGTACAGGTTCAGACCCAAAGTGGACAATATCGTACCATGTGGTGGAGTGGATCATTACAAATGGTACTTTTCAGAGGTGTCAGACAGCTTTTTTCATATAAAAGACATATTTACCCTTTGACTTCGATTTGACTAAATTAAGTGTAGTTTAACTATTAAATTGACATTTTTACCCTTATTAATTTTTTTTTTTTTTTGGAATTTGACATTTTTTCCTTTATTGTTTCATTAGAATTAATTAAGGAAAGTAACCTCATTAGCTTTAAAATAATAAAAAAGTAGACCTCGTTAGCGTAATTGAAGAGTAAAAATGTTGTTGTGTAATTGGTAATTTCTTTGTAATTGCTGATTTGAAGTGTAAAAATGCAAGTGAATTGTAATAATATTTTTAACATGTAATTACAAATTTATTTTTAAACTTGTGATTGCTAAAGCCCATAAATGTGAAAAAAAAATCACAATAAAGTCATTACATATAAATCTGAAAGCATCCCAATCCAGGAAAAAAAAATCCAATAAACAGATTGAAAATTAT